ATTACCACACTGACATCCATTTAATTTCCCTTAGGCAGCAAGATTTCCCAGAGATGTGAGAGCCTGAAATTTGGGGACCAAATAAGAGAATCTGCCTGCATTAGCAACACAAGTACCCAAGGAGAAGTGAAAAGCTTCAGCCTCAGCTCTTCCCAAGGAAAATGAAAATGTTGCCAAGAAAAAAGCAGAAGAAGCAGAGGCTTGGTAATAAAAAGTAATAAAAAGCCAAAAAGGCAGAAAAGGATGAGTCATACCTACTGAATATAAATCTATAAAAGAAACCTGTTTTTTGTGGGTTTTTTTTTTAATGGCACACACTGGAATGCATTAAATTACAAGCTGGAAATCTCTCTAGGGAAAGAATAAGTATGTATCAATTAATACAAGTGCTCATTGATGAAGTAATGGTTCATTCATAATTTATTTAACACATGTCATTCAACTAGTAATAAATGACATTTATGAACAAATAAGAGGTTAGCCACTTACTAATTTTTTTATTCCTTTTTCAGCTCTAGTGACCACTACCTTCATGACTTTTCCTTTATAATAAAATGTTTACTAGTTATATTTTTTCAATATTATTTTTATTTGTCTCTACTTGACACATCTCCAGCCTGCTGAAATTGGTATTTTCATCCGGTTTTTAAAATGTAAAGATAATGGAACTTAGTTCCTTAAAATAGCCAACAGGCCAAGTTAGAAAACTACATACTGGGAAAGCTCACTAAAAATGCTACTCATGAGTTCTTTCTAATTTCAGTTTCGTAGGTGTAACTGCCTTACAATGAAGCTCTTTTTATACTTGAGGAGTCAAGTCACTCTGAATGGAGTCCAAGACTTTAAATGAATTCCACTTTATAACACATTGTGTTTTATCAGTGACATAGTATAAATTCATATCTCTCTTCCAAAAGATCTTCAGAACTCTGATGAGTGAAACACTTCCAAAATTAATAACAATTTCCTACAACAGGTTAAGCAAGTGAAGTTGTAGCATCTCTTTCTGGAAGACTTAAAGAACAGGGAAAATTCCCATTGTAAGATTTTAATATTATGTTAATAACCAAATAAAATTCATTTCTGAAGGACAGCATAGAGAAAAGACAGATGGGAGGAACTCTTAATGTGTGAGGGTAGGATGAAATAGAGCTATCTTGGTCCAATGATTATCTGGAAAATATACTGAAGACTGAGTCATTGAGACATGTTTCATCATACCACTCCAAATAAACACAAAGGCTATTTAAGGAGTTTGAGTTTGTGCTCAGCAATGAAAGAGAAAGAAAACGATAGGAGGAAAATGTTATGGTTGACTATTATAGGCATATGGCTTAAGTGTGGGGAAATGCAAAAGATCTGCTAAGCAAGTCCCCTACTCTGAACTCATGCATGGTGCTAAAATATGAATGGAAGGAAAAAAAAAAAACAAAAAAACATGGATGGGAGCTTCTAGGACCATCTTGATTTCAGCCTTCTTGTTGGATCCTAAGTCCTCATCTCTGGCTTGGAAAATTTGGACACTAAGTATAATTCATATTCATTATATTATAGAGCTATTCATCTTTGTCTCTGCAAGTTTTTCTCTAGCTTCCCTGTCATTTATTAATATCAGATCAATGTAATACTGAATTGTAGGAAACATAAACTAAAGAATTTATTTTTTAGTTTCAGCTCGATTTGTTTTAAAGCCAGTGCCCCTTTCCACCACTCCTTGCTCCAATCCACCATTTCCCTGGGGGTACATTTGTCATTTTTTTCTAGCTTCTCCATTACTTGTTGGAAAGTATATTGGAATTAAATATGTTTAGCTACATGAATCCACATATTCAACCAATATTAATCAATCCTCACTCCCTTCCCATAAATAGTGGAGAGTACTTATATAAATTGTATATAAGGAAACCCTTTCAGTTGGCAATGTGCAATTTTATAGTGAGCCCTGCCATATCCTAGTAATTGAGTGATTATGCCTTACAAGTTTGGTTATTACTCATTCAACCAGTTGTAAGCAACATAAATTGAATCTAGAAAACTTAAGAAAAAGTGCATTTATTGGAAGAGGTTAGGAGCTTGGAAAATCAACAGGAAAGCTAGAGAACAAAGCAGGAACTAAGAACTTCACATTCAAGATATAAGAAATAAAGGGAGACTCTTAGAAGGATCTTCTCAGAGAGGTATCATTAGACTAAACAGTCTCCAAAAGAGCCCATCCTCTGTCCCCCAGCTAAAAATTAAAATTCCAGGGGCGTATGGGTGGCTCAGTTGGTTAATCATCCGACTCTTGATATTGGCTCAGGTCATGATCTCAGGGTCATGAGATCGAGCCCCATGTCGGGCTCCACACCGGGCATGGAGCCTGCTTAAGATTCTCTCTCTCCCTCTCATTCTGCCCCGTCCTCTCTCTCTCTCTATCTAGCTCTCAAAAAAAAAAAAATTTTTTCAAATTCCAAGAAGGTCATTTGCTCAGCACTTGTGGAAAGAGCACCTGATTAACAAGCCCACGAAATTCAGTAAGGGAAAGGAAATACTAAAAGTTTGGAAAATTTCACTATTCTTATTTAAGTTCCTAGCACTCAAGCTGAAATACCAGAAGCTATAATCGTAGAATACTGGTCATGTTTCAAAAGGTCTGTCTTAGAATGACATGTACAGCGTTTGCTCAGCCCCATCTAGCAATTTGCCTCTGTCACTAAACCAAACCAACACAGAAACCAACCTCAGAAAACAGTGAATGGCCTTAAGTCATAGGTTAATAAAGAAACAAGAAATTATATCTCAATTTAAAAATTAACTAACTTAAAAATTTATTAAGTAAAATAAGAAACAACAACAACAAACTTGTTCCTCCAATGGTCATCCTCACCTGGCAAAAGTAATGGTGTATATGGGTGTATATAGAGAGTGTCTAGGTTTATGCACTGTGACTTAGGTATTTTGTATGTATTACCTCATTTAATTCTCACCAAACCCTGGGTATTAATATTACTGTGACCCTAATATGATTGTCAGCCCTCAGAGGGATTCTATACCTTGGCTAAAGCCTCACAGCTATCAGGTGATCGCCCCCTTGACATAGACTGACTAGACTCAGTCAAATGGGTTGAGTTTTACAGGAGGCAGGAGGACCATGGGCATGAGTTGAAATCTCAGCTTTGCCACTTACTAGTTGAAGGCAAGAAATTTAATTCTCACCAAACCCTGGGTATTAATATTATTGTGACCCTAATATGATTGTCAGCCCTCAGAGGGATTCTATACTTTGGCTAAAGCCTCACAGCTATTTTAGTTTATAGAAATTTAAACCTCACTAAGCCTCGATTTCCTCATCCATGAGATAGGGACAGTCACACCAGGATCAGCATGAGTCGCTGCAAGGTCAGCCCATTGTTGCAAAGAGGAAAGGGGAAATGTATATAAACTACTTAGCCATGAGAGCTTGTCACATACTAAGTACTGAGTAACTGATGGCTATTTTTAGTTATATGTCTGTGTCCCTTTGTAGACTAGTCCTCGAGATTCAGGTATTATTCTTTTGATATTTGTATCCATAGCACCTTTCTCAGTGATTGGCACATGAACAAGCCCACATAAATATCTGCTGACCAGGAAGTGTTTGTATCGGCGTGCACGCTGCCATGATGTACTCTAATGTTAGAAAATAAGCTCCTCCTTATATTAACGCTCCTCCCTGCTCATTAAGCAAATGATGCCTATTTTCCACCACCCCACTCCCTGGCCTCAGACTTTAAATCATGAGGTCAAGGACGGTACGTCTTCTGTTCTCTGTGGATCCTCAATGCCTAGCACAGAGCCCAGTACATAGTGGGAGGTTAACAAATATTTGTGAACTGAATTTTTAATAAACATTTGTAATATATCTTTCAGTTCACCTAGCACTTTCACATAAACATATTTCTCAGCAGAGCAAGTTCAACATATCTCTTTGGCACCAGACTGCCTGGGTTCAAACTCCACCTCCATCATTTACTAGCAGAGTAGTCTTGGGTAATACACCTAAGTTTTTAATGTCTCCATTTTCTCACCTGTAAAATGAGAATAATAATTGTATTGGGGGGCACCCGGGTGGCTCAGTTGGTTAAGCATCTGCCTTCGGCTCAGAACACCATCCCAGGGTCCTGGGATTGAGCTGGCGTTGTGCTCCCTGTTCAGTGGGGAGTCTGTTTCTCCCTCTCCCTTTGCCCCTTCCCCCAACTCGTGCATGTGTGTGTGTGTGTTTGTGTGTGTGCTCTCTCTCTCAAACAAATAAAATCTTTAAAAAATAATAATAGTAGTATTGAGTTGTTGTATGTATTAAAATGTTAATTTATATAAAGCTTGTAAAACAGTATGTGGCACATAATAGGTGTTCTTTAAACTTCAGCAATGATTAATTTTGTTTGTGGCTGTTTTCTTCCCACCACACTGTCAGGAATAAATTATTCCAACTGCCTAAATCATCTTTCCTTTCACATAAGAAAATATGAAAAGTGGCATCTTTATTTCAAAATCCTAAAATCAATTTTCAGAAGAGCAAATCATAATCTCAAGAAACTGACTTCCAGAGCTATTTGCAAAAATAAATGTATTTATAGAGACTGTTCCTAAAATAAAATAATCCTAAATGGCTCGAGATATTTTGTAGTTTAAAGCTCTTCCAAATCACTCGTGCTGGATCCTTGTCCCACAACATTTGGCTTTATTCTTTCCACAAACAAGAACAGCTATATTGACTTGAGCAGAAGCATTCATGTAAGTAAAAACACTGGGTGGTGGAATTAGGTCATGCTGTCCTCTGTCTCCACCACAAACCTCATTTGCCCTATTATGGCAAAAAGTATGTCAATCTCCCCAACACTTTGAGCATGAACCTGGTGATTAGGCCACACATTACTTAAAAATTCCAATCATTGCATTCAACCACTGATGCCTCTCTACACATTGGAGAGAGGAGCAGGAGAAAAATAAAGGCAAAGAGGGCACCTGGGAATTTCATTTACCTTCAATACTGTAATGTTCCAAGCAAAGCTCTCAGTTGCCTTGTTGAGTTTTCTTCCCTTTAAGCCTTCTTTTGCCCCTAGATTATGAAGTTCCTCGTGGAATTCCATCCCTTTGACAAAAAAGAACATATAAGAATTCTTAGTATAAATTTCAGAAAAATGGGCATTTATTACGAAAAATTCCCATTCCTGTTCTTTCCTTTATAATTTTGAAAACCTGAATCAAATGTTCCTTCCTATTCTGTTCATCCCCACCAATGGCTATCCTTAGGGGCAAACTAACAATAACCGATGCATTAGACCACATTACATTTTAAACAGCCAGGAGCCACCAGATAAAGACTTAAGAAGGAGGTTAAGAACCAAAATCTTCCAACAGGTTACATGTGTCTTGCTGATCTTCTACATGGTTTTTATGTGAAATGGTGTAATGTGTGACAATGTGTGACGGGTAACCATATGTGATAGTTGCACTCTTTTACTTTTCCTTATAAACTATCCATATGGTTTGACAGTAGACCCTGGAGTCCATATGGATAACAACATTAATCAATAAATGTTGAGTCAAAATAAAAAGATGTTTTATAAATAGCGTTCCTGGAAACAACTAAATACTGCAGATTTGGTAATGGCCTTAAAAGTTAATTTTAGCTCAACCATTTCTCAAGCTTGACTACTATAAAAGATATCACCATCCTCAGAGACGGGAATCACATTTTCTTCTGGACAGCTTACGCCATCTTTGGAAAGCTATGACTGATATCAAGCCAAAGTCTCTCTCCCTGGAACCTTTACTCCTTGGTGCTAGCTAGACCCAGACCAGCTAAATCTAATCTCTTTTCCACTGTGCAGCCCTTTAAATATTTGAAGAAGGACACTCAGTAAAGTCCACTAGAGCCTTTTCTCCGCCAGATTAAACATGCTAGCATGTTTCAGCTTTACTATAAATGTCTCTTCTTTAAAGATGACATCCAGGCAGAGTATCTGCCTCACACAGCTTCCTGGAGTTGAGCTTGTAGGGACCTGCATCCAGGAATATCATATTCAAAGTGGGCTTGAAGCAACCTACACAGGGTAGGGATTTACCACCACCCTCCTTGTTCTAGTTACTCTACTTTTACTAATGCAGCTAAAACCACGTTAACCTTTCTGGTGTTAGCGTCACAAATATAGCACATGGTAAGAGCATGATGGTGGGGTTGGGCTTACAGTCTGGCTCTACCACTTATTAGCTACATAAGCATGAGCAAGACCTTGAAACTCTCTGCAATCCAGTTTCCTCATTAGTGAAATGGTGATAACAACAGAGTTTACCTCAAGGGATTGTGGTTGAAGATTAAATGAGACAATACATATAAAGCTCTCAAAGTAGTATCCAGCATAAAAGAGCATTATATAAGTACTGGTATTATTTTTGTGCTTTCTGTCAACAGAAACATTTAAGCCTGTGGACCAGTCAGTGAACAGCACCATTTTTAAGGTCTAGTCTGGGTTCAGAGGTCAGCTCCTCCCTGTGTTAATATGGAATCTTGAATGATTCACTCAATCTCTCAGAATCTCAGATGCCTCATCTATAAATTGAATACTTGCAGAGTTGTCATAAGGACTAAGTAACAGTGTGTGTGCACAGTATATCATATGCAAATATATCAAGCAATTGTCATTATTGTCATCTTCCTCATCATAATCATTATGCATGGGAATCAAGGAAAATATAAATCCAAGAAAGATAAAAGTACAGGGTGTGTATGAAGGTGAATATAAATAAATAGAGGGGTGCCCTCACAGATATGTGACACATCCCATCCTTAAAGAAAGAACAAATCTAAAATAGTGGTTAATACATGAGGCAAAAGCTTAGGAGATTAATAGGATTATGGCTGAAATTATAAAAATGAGGTGGTTCTTAAGGGATAATGTGTAGTAAAGGGTTTTGACAGACTTCCAAACCACAAAAGTAGATTCAGAACCCCTCACCTCTCTAGACATCTTCAGACACTACCCTCCCATATACATACAACCCACCTACTGTCACCTTGATTTCTTCTGTACTAAACAAAGACTTAAGTTTAAACTCAAAAGTATCGTTAAACTATGGCACAAAATATTTGAATTTTAAGAGTAAAAACAGAAACTTTAAAAACCACCAAGAGTTATCATTAAGTTTCTAAACAAAATGGGGCAAAAGTAGGGGGATTACCTGCTTTCTGACACTGCACAATCTTTTCTTGGACTGTATCTGCCATTTCTATGAGAAACCGGCTCTCTTGAATCATCTGTCACAAAATAAACATAAAAAGGTGATTGTTAGAAGTCCTTAAACTGTCCCATTGGAAGGACAACATACAGAAAGATGCACCTGATCCTGGCAGTAATGGGGAACCATGGCCTTCAGCACAAGAAACGGAATATGGAAGGATAATGTCTGCTCCAACCCCCATCCACTCTAGCTCTAGCTAGAGTCGCCTACCTTATAATTACTTCAGTCATGTAACATGCTTGGCACACCATAGATGCCAAATAAACAACTAGTAAATAAATGTATACACATTCTTTAAGTCCCAGATCACACATTCATGAACACCTCTTTTCTACCCCCTCACTCCAAAAGTTACTGCAACATCAAGGCACGTGGTACTGGAACAACAGCAACAAGAATCAGAATAGGGAATCACCTAGTGGTGAGCTAAAGGACAACTGAACACATCAATGAAGTTAGCAGCTTGGATTTTGGTGGTCCAAAGATGGTGGAGGTCGGGTTCTCCCTGTAAAAGGGCTCCAGCTCCACTGGCAAGAATGAGGAATGGGTCAGATTTCAGAGCCACCAATTCAACAAAGGTTGTAGGCAATAACACTGAAATGGTTGTCCCTGCCCTTTACATTTGGGTAGAAAAGAAAATGTCCAAGAAATAATTAATATACTAAATGAAATAGGCGAAATAAGACAACTGTTGGAGAGATGGAGAAAAGAAAAATCTGTACTCGAAGAAGAGGGAAGATAATCGGTATAGAAGTTGTGATCAGAATGACAAGGGATTGGGACCCTTTTGAAGAAGTGACTGAAGAAAGGCAACCATTAGGCAAACTAACACTTCTTGAATTTCCAGCCACTCTTGTACTCTCAGTAAGTACTGTCCCATTTCACCTGGCTATTCTATGTTTTGTCTGTCTGAATATTCTGAAGGAAATTCAAGGCAGAATCCAAAGTGGACATAAAGTGTTGGGTAAGACATTTTTCATAATTAAATGCTGTTGAACAGATTGTAATCTCGTACAATCACTGTCAAACATAAAGTAGTTTATGATTACAAATTTTTAAATAGAAAAGAATATTGAATCACAATTTTTAATGCCTAACAACTCTATATAGGTAAAATTATATAATTCATTTATTTAATAATTATCTACTGAGCAAACACTATATGTAAGCACTGTAGTAAGTACAAGGGGTGTGATGCATTAAGGAGCAAAACAGACACACTTCTATCTCCATGGAGCTCAGAGTCTAGCAGGGAAGTCTACTCAAAAGGATGAATGAAATATGATAATTAATTCAACCAAACAAAATTGAATTACTCATATTTTCTGCCTAAAGTGGCAGCTTAAAGTAAGTTATTTGGAGAGTTAAATTGACCATCAAAACCATTAAAGTAGACACCCAAGAAGGTCTAGACTGAGTCACATATTTTAACTGCATTAATGCTTTCAACTCCCAAGAGGAAGTGGAAAGTTAGTGAGTAACAATTTACTAAATGCCTAACAGTAGCCTGACTTACTGCAGCTTCCAAGTCAATGAAACTTAGAAGCAGAGAAAGATTTAATATGAGGCCCATCTGATTTAGTCTTTTCTAAGCTTAGCATCCATGCATGCAACATCAATTGAGTTTTATTATAATTTCAAAAGTTATCAGATGTTGCAATAGTTAAGTAGTAGACAAAATGTTTTTATGAAACTCTAGCAAGGGAGACATTCATAAGTAATGGACACATTTTGTGACTTTACCATAAGCAAAATAGGTAATATAATAAACATTTTTAGAACCATTTAATTTTAAGACCAAAAGAATCTTAGGTATCATGACCAGCCCCTTAGTTTTGTAAGAAGGAAGGAAGGAAGGAAGGAAGGAAGGAAGGAAGGAAGGAAGGAGGAAAGAAAGAGAGAGAGAAAAGGGAAGGGAATAGAAGGGGAGGGAAGGGAAAGGAAGGAGAAAAGAAAAAAAGAAAAGAAGTGAAGACTTACAGGAGTTAAGATTCTTGTCTAAAAATAGAACTAATTAATGATTGAGCTGGAATTAAAACCCCAGTTACCTGGCATCCATTTACTTTCATGAAAAAATAGCACCCCTCTGATTTTGTCTGGCCTGGTCATACTCCTTGAGAGAATGCATGTCTTCACATACATGCAATCTTTGAGCCTGAAATATAGCATTTTCAAAGTCACCTGGCCCAGCCTGTCAGGAAAAACATGAGGGCATGCCCATAATCAATCCATTTCAACATTCAAATTTGTCCTTTTTAAGAAAAACTCAAAAAAGTAATAGGATTGATAATTTCCTTTGATAATATCTTGACTGACATCTTAACACTCACTTCTCTTGGTTTTGCTCTCAGTAGAGAACATTTCTTTGATTAAAAAAAAAACAAACTCTTTTATCTATTGATTTGTGGCCAGTTTTCTTTGCAGTATTTTACTATCTCCTCAGTGTTGAGCATAAAAAGAATATATTTCCAACAATGAATCATGAACACTACATCTAAAACTAATGATGTAATGTACGGGGATTAACATAACAACAAAAAATTAAAAGAAAAAAAAGAATATATTCCCTTCATGCAGAAACACCATAGCCTCTTTGTAATAACCTGAGAAGGAAGTGTCCTCTTTGCTATGGCTGCCTCTTCCACCAAGACAGTCAATCCGACCTCCACTGCCTCCCTCAGGAATCCATTCCCAATGACCCTTTCCTTTTTTTATCCAAAATCTCCACCTCTGTCCTGGCTTTTTCCCTTCTCTATATACCTCCTACCTCAAAGTAAGCAAACAGAAACAATAACAAAATATTCTACTGGCCATTAATCCTCCCTTAAAAAACTAGCCCGCACTCATTGTTTTGACTCAAGCAAGACTCCATCAAGACCTTCAAAGTTTAATCTTGGCCTCATCATCAACTACACCCTGGTCCATCCTCTGTCCTCATTCACTCCTGACTCAACAGCTGACAACTCTGATCATCCCTCCTTCTTGATTTCTGGGACCCTGTTTCTTTTTCAGCTTCACTCTTTCTCTGACTCCTGTACTACCTCTTTCTCCTTTTTTATATCCATACATGTAGGAATTCTTTGAGCTGCCTGGTCTCAGCTCTCCATTCTTTCCTTTGACCATTATCTTTCCTCTTAGTAATTTCATCCATTCCTAGAGCAATGAAATATTGTACTCATGCAGATCATTTCAAAGCCAATGTCCCCAACCCTGGCCTCTCTCCTAAATTCCAGATTCATACTTCCAATGGTCTACAACAGTGGTTTCCAAAGTAGGGAGGTATGTGCACTCTGGAGCAGGGAGCACAAGATAACCCTTTGCAGTACGAGAAGAAAGAATGAGGACTTTTATTCAGGTTTATTTTATTTGTAAAACTAGAAAGGAAATAAAGCTTTACAGATTGACCCAGTCACCAAGTCTTGCCTAACTTGCCAAATCAAGATCATATGTCTCTAATGCAGTAAGTAAGGTAAGACAAGGAAGAAGGGAATTTCACATGGAAGAAGGGCTAACAGCAGCACTCATGTATTAGCTTCTTCCAGAATATTCCAACTTACATATGCCTGTATTAGAGTAGTACCATTTACATAATCTTGTCCTAAATAAACTACACTTTCCCAATATGGATTCCTGAGAAGAAAATGAAGATTACCCAAGCACAAGCAAAAACGTGAAGATGGCAGAGCAGCTCCTCATTCTACTCATACCATGATTTCTTCCTCAGCAACACAGACAAGTGAAAACAATGACAGCGGGATCAGATCAATGTATTCAGTCACATTGGAAGAGCAAAAAGATTTATTTTTATTATTTGTAAGTAAAACTTTTAAAATCCAATGCTAATTTCTATTCTTGATTTGTTTTATATTGTATAAGCTGGTATATTATTAGTTTATATCATTTATGAATGAATACATTCTCAAATTTTTACTAAGGAGTTGCCCATGCTGGGTCCTCTCTATTCACCCCTCCAGATCCACGCTCTGCCATGCTCTATGCAGGGAAGTTTGGTCTCTGTGGGCAACATCAAGCAGGCTCCCTTGCTGACTGGCAACATCAAGCTGACTTCTGTTGGGATTGGCCAAGGGGATCCATCAGCAAGGGATCATGGGCGGGAGGCAGGAGGAGAGAGGGCTTAGGGTGGTTACTCCCTTGACCATTCCCTCCCTGCTGGACAATGGCCCCATAGCTTCCTCTCTACAAGACCAGAGCTCCTGTCAAGTGGCCCCTCTCTGCCAGGTATAGATATGATGGAGTGCCAGGAATGGCTCCCTCCCCTTCTCCTTTTCCACTGTTGCTATTCTTGGGGTACTCACCATCCACTGTTGCTTCTCTAATGCTTACCCATACTTTTATAACCAAACCCCTCATTTACTCCTTTAATCACCCCCTTTGCTATCTGCAGAGAACAAATAAGGTACCAGATACCTGTACATGTAATTTCCAGCATTCTGTCTCATCCAGACATCCAGGTTCAGATCTCCAACATTCTCTTTGCCTCACTGCATCCAGAAGGCGAGCTCCCACATTTTGTCAGTCACCAAGTCTTGCCTAACTTGCCAATTTTATCCCTTTGTTTCCTTCTTTAATCACAACACTCCTGGTTTAAGCCTTTAGTCCCACTCTCTGGACCATCTTTCAAATTCTAATTGCATCTCAAATGTTACCTTTAAAAATATGTTCTCCTCCATTTTATTCTCCCATTCCTACCCCGACTCTTGCCAAAAAAAAAAGAAATATCTCTATTTTCTTCAAACGCTCACAAAGCTCCCTTGGAGGCAATCAGAGGTGGCTTCGAATCCCTGCTCAGCTACTGGCAGGTTCTGGTTCTTCCCATCTTACTCCTTCTAAATACCACTTCCAAAATCATCTTCCAAAAGCATAGCACTAGTTACTTCCTGGCTTTGTCATTTTCTCCTTTGCCTATTGAATGAAGTAAAATTTTTCTAACCCAGAATTCAAGTCTTCCCATTTGCCTCAGCAGCCTTTCCCCCTATGGCTTCTCAAGTCTTCTAG